TCTGATCATTATATATATAATAATGAAAAAACTAAACATAAACAAAGCTTTTTAATAATGATCCATTGCACTTTTAGAGAATTATAATCGTGATGTGTAACTTTATTTTACATTTTTATTTCTTTTTCACCTCTTTCTGTTTATTATAAAGATCACTAGTTAATTTTAGTATACATCTAAAATTTGTAACATGTTTTTGTAACGCAGCAAACTGAAAGCAAGAAAGAAACGGGGAAAGGGGAAAAAGAGGAGAGGCAGAAAACCTCGCAGCCAATCACAAGAGCAGTTTACTATTTTTCCGGTTCGCCCCAAAACATGACTGTGAGCTAATTGGCTCTAACATAAGACTGACAACTCTGTAGATGTGGCTCAGCCTATCACTATCCGCCCATGTATCTCTTCCCCTCCTACTGGCGCACACAATAGCAAAGCCTGTATACAATAATTTATAAACAGGCCTGTATTAATACACATGGTAAACTCTTTTTTAATAAATTTTAATTTATCACCACTGCGTCTATTCTGGATGGCAATTGAATTAAAGATATAACCATCCCCTTAATATGCGCCTGTCAATAAGATTCGAAGTTACGTGTTTTAATTGATTAAAAGGTTAACTGTGACAATTCACTCTCACCCAGTCTTGGAAGGTCCGTTTGTATTTCTTTCCGTCCCAACTCCATCGTTGAGGTACCAACTAAAGTTAAAAGACAAGGTGTTAGAGATGGCAAAAACTGCCCGTTTCGTCCATGGTCGGTAACACGCTTCTTTATTTAACACCGGCCAAAATTTCTGAAAAGTTTCTCAAAAAGCGATCAGACGGACAGCATTACGGAGACCACACACGAGAATAAAAACAGAAAGGTCCAGCTGAACCTACCTCATACTCCTCCAGTTCCTCAATCAGGATCTAACAACAGACAGACACAGTTAGCGTTAGCTGCTAGTATTAGCTACCCATTAAAACGATAAATAACAGGTATGAGTTAATATCTTGCTTATTGTAGGGCGTTACCTGTGCCGCTTTTTTACAGGGTCCAGACTGTAGAAATCTGGCAATGAGGTAATACAGTTCTGAAACGAAAGAAAGGTGCATTAACTTGATACTAACTAATGTTACTATTGAGCTAACGCTAGCTAGCTTTGGGCTGCACTCGGTTGCTTAGCTCGTTAACTGACACACAACTGCAAACTATGTAATTGCAAAATATTTTGCCCCGAAACAACGGGAAGCGCAGCACTTACCGGCTTCGGTTGGGGAACACTGTTCTCTTGCCATCACTTGATAAAACAGGCGACATTAAGACAAACTGATGTTTTAGCTTGCTCGTTAGCCGCCGGCTAGCTAACAGTAGCTAGGTGTGTGTAGCTAAAACAGGCTAGTGAATGGCCTCCTCCTCTCTCAAGTTGATCTCAGACCACCTGGTGCTTTGTGTTAGCGCCCTCCAGCGAAAGTACACTATTGTACGTTTTATGTTCTTTATTGAAAATGAATAAACATGTTGCACCCATATAGATTACATGTACTACATACAGTGGCAAGAAAAAAAAGTCCTTGGAATTATAATCGTGTTTTTTAAATTAATGTGCTATAAAATGCCCCGTAGTCTTCATCTATGTCACAGGTATAGACAATATGTGCTAAAGCTTATAACACAGGAACAATCATAATCTTCTTGTCTTTACTGAAAACTCATAAAACATTCACAGTTCTTGTGGGAAATGTAAACAAACCCTTGGATTAATAACTGGTCAAATCTTCTTTGGCAGCAATAACCTGAAATAAGAGCTTCCCGTAGCTGCAGATCAGACCTGCAGGAGGAATTCTGGACCATTCTTCTTAGAAAACTGCATCGGCACAGTCATATTGTTAGGATGTCTGCTGTGAACAGCTCTCCTGAGGTTATTCCATGGCACCTCTGCTGTATTTATGGTCTGCCCTCTGACTGGGTTGCTGCAAAAGATGGATTTTATATTAAGTAATTTTGTATAGTAGATTCAATTTGATGTTGAAATTCATATTCCTGTTTCATCACTCAGCTTATACTGAGCCTCAGCTGGTGGACAGCCACTCTGACATTATCCTATAAGATACCTTGATAAACTTGGGAATTAATTTCCCCTGGTGATGGCAAACTGTCCAATCCCAGCGGCAGCAAAGCAAATTATGTCAATTTATGATACCACCATACTTCATTGTTGGGATTTTGTTTTTATGTTACTCAGTGCTGCCAGTTCAATTTTGGTTTTATTGGTCCACAGAACAATTTCACAGTAGTACTGTGAAGTGGCCACAAGCTCTTTGGCAAACCTTGGGTACTTAATGCCACAGTACTACTAAACTGCCTCCACTTATAGTTTGTTTAACTGTGGACTGATGATTACCTAAACTTTCTAGCAACTCATTTTCTAATATACAAAAAACTGAATTATTTGCAAGAATGCAAATGTACACACAAATTAGACATACTATGCAGAATTTGACTTGCACATTCCTTTATAATAATGGTATGTAATTCACAGAATCAAAATTTCACGAGTGTGATATTGCACTGAAGTTGAAGCCTGCATACCAAAAAACCCATATATTCCTTGAAAATTGCAACTTTTGAGAACATGTCTCAGTGAATAATCAAGGTGATGTGATTACTTTCTTAGATAACTGAGGTGAAACATCCTAATTCATGCTTTTTAAAATCTACTCTATCTGACTGACATTAAAGAATTAAGAAAGATTGCATCATCATCATCTTTTAACCTAACATTTTTAAAAACTCAAACCTCCATGGATCAGAATGGAAGTCCATGTCTGATATGACATCCATCACAGCCTGGTATTACAACTGTATGGTAGACTGATTTTATTATTTTTGTTATTTTTGCAAGTTGTGGTTTCACACACATTCGCATGCATACTCTCCCAGCAAGGTTCTGCCACTCTCTTCAGTGGACATAAAAAGGTAATTCTCTTGAATAGCATGCACAGTGGTCTGCTAATTAATTGTTGACTGGCTGTATATGTGTGTGTATCAATAAAATTGAGCTGTGGTGTTCTGTATGAATAAAATATCAGAGGAGTTGAACACAAAGGATTTGACATCCTAGTCTGGAACTGAATTTTGCTTGCAGTTCAAAGACAGGTGGTGGAGAACCGTTACCTGACTCAGTAGTATGTTGGCCTCTCATATAGCAGATGTTTTGATGATTAAAGGCCAGATTCAGTGCATTAGACCTCCTGAAGACCTGGAAGTAAACTGGAGTCCCTGTGCCCTTCAGTGATAAGTTATGAGTAGCTGCTTGACAGTAAAACTGGCTTGGTAATGCAGAAGTGATCAGTGGCAACAACAATCCAGATGTGTGAATATGCTGCAGGTGACTAATTTCAGCTCCCACAACATCACCTTTTCAGGTATATAGAGCCATATGGTCTAAAAAATATTTTTAGATTGTGAGGTAAAAAATTTGTGGGAATAGTGTAGTTCACTTATATTTATCTCCGTGAAGAATTGCTGCTGAGCCATAGTGTTTTTAGGCTGTAGTAATTTAAACAGGCAGTGAGTAGTCAATACTAAACTTGAAACTTACATGCACCTTTAGACTGTGGCTTCTAATCTATAATATATAGATTAAATGTTTTAGGGCACATGCGGTTTACTGCCAAATTCACTACTCTTTCAATAATGTCAAAGGTACTTTTTATTTGACACAATTAATCTTTCATTAAGTGTGTGTAGTATGCCAAATAAATACATTTTAAAAAATCAAAGCTTCACGTCAGACTACTGTAAAAGATTAAATGTGATCTTGGCAATAGAAGTGAAGAACAAGATGATACATCACTATTAGAGTTTTAAAAAAAGCATATTTTGTGGGTTGGTTGTGTTTTTCTTTTTGGAGTGTTCAGTATATAATGTTTATCCTGTGCTTTTTCAGGTGGATGTTAGTTTGGGTTTGTGTGTTCAGGTCAGTTCTGTTTTGTCACAGATTCTATAGATTCAACATGCTGATCAGTGTGTATTTGACATACAGTATCACAAATGCAAGACAAAACGTTATTGTAGTGAGCTTGTTACTGAAACCTGGTATTCTATTTTTGTACATTGAGAAGAACTATTGGTTATAGAGTACTGAATTTAAGTACTGTAAGTGTGTACCTTTTATAAGCTATTTTTAATTAATGCAACTTTTCTTGGACTATTTCAAGACGGAAATTTTACAACATTTTATATTTTGCCAACTACTAAGTGGCAGATTAAATTTTTGAACATAGCTAAAAGTAGTGATGTATCATTCAACCAAACAGAATGGAAGTAAGATGGGTACACTACAACAAGTTAAAACACAAACATGCTATTGCACATAGTAACTATAGCCTATGCATTTTTCTGCACAATTATTTTTACTTGTAGGGTATATTTATCTGATAATACTTTTACTCAAATACTATTTTTAATCCATGACTTGTATTTGTGATTGAGTATTTTTCATTGCAGTAGTCTATTAAATCTAAACGCTTTACAAAATTGAATTGTAGGCTGCTGATTGACCTATGGGTGGCGCTACAGCATCTGTTGATTTGTTAGATTATGTGAAACGTGGGAAAATGATAATCTCACTGCATTTGTCTTGGCATTTTCAGAACTGGCTGATCTGCCCAAGACAGCATGTGAAGATCAGATAGGCCTGTATCGTGGAGTTTCAAAGTAGGGTGTGACTCACACCAAAAGTTATGACTCACACCAATAACAGCGCACCAGTGTAGGCTAGTGACTGGAACCATTACAGCTTTATATAACCTGTTGAACGTCGCATAATCAGGTAATTAAATAAAGGCTTTTTAACTGATTTATGGAGCGCATTCATTTTCTTCATTTACTATCCATGCAATAAAAGTTAAAGTATTATTCACACCCATCTACTGAAAACACGCGCGCGCGGGCGCGCTGGTATAGGTTAACCCTATTTATTTAGCCTAGTATATAGCCCAGTGGGCGGGACTCTGAGCGTGGACGCACACGGGCTGCAGGCAACTCTTCATGCAGCCTCGTCTGTGTGTGTGGATACATCAATTAACTGTGTTTTCATCGTAGCTCAGTGAAACCGAGATGTAAAACGTGAGGTGTGCGGGCTGAGTCTGGTCGGGCTCAATCAGGATTTACCTTTCAATAGACTGTATCTCACATTCACCGGTAATAATTATTTGCAGACTGACTCGGCAGTTTCTGGGCAACTTTTTCGTGTGTAATGTTAGGACATCGGGGTTTTGTCGGTTAACGTTAAAACACCACTTATTTTCCAGGTTTTCATCTGGATTCGTCTGGTCTTATTCCGCAGAATAAGGTAAGTTTCCAGTATTGTGTCATTCGGGCTAACGGTTCAGACAGCACGGTATCTGTTCCGTTACTTGGCTGTTTTGTTATAGGTTTAGCTTGACGTTGGCTAACGTTAAGGGTTAAAATTAGAAAGTCTATAGTAGTCCATTACTGTCAAGGAAGACAGTTTTCTTACTGCACCTCTTTCTCCATCTCTTTAACCGACTTAATTTGATTCTAAATATGTAAAGTAACTCAACAAAAAAACCCTAAAGTAATAAATTTAAGAAATTATCAATGGAAGAAATCCAGTCTGTTTCAAACTGGTTTTCAGTTAGTCAGAATGAAACGTTTTTAAATGGCTCTTAAGTACTTTGCGATTTTGTAAGTTTTGGATGCATGTACCAATGTAACTTGGCCCGTGTGCCCAGTGTATTTTAAGAGGATGACATTTGTTCTGATACCAGCTGTGTGGCAGGTAATTGAATCTAGACCCTGTTGATGAAGTGTTGTTGGGCTATGATGAAGGCTATGCATCGAAATAGAGTAGCTACCTGGAGACCTGCTTTTGCTTTGGGGTTATCTGAAATATTATAACATGTTGTAATATTTGAGCAGGATTAAATGTGACTGGTTTTCTTGTGTATGAAGAGACAAATAGGCTACCTGCTGGGTTATGTGATTGGGCTAAAATACCACAGGAGGCTGACAAGGAAAGGCTCTTGTTTCATTAAAATTTAGACATCTTTATGTTAGACTGAGTGATGCCAAGCGGGTGGAAACTTTGTTCATGGACCTGATGCAGAAAAAAGTTGCGGTTTAAAGGAGTCAGGGTTTTGCAAATAATGCCATTGTCCTAATAATAATTCTGCATTTCCATCCAGGTATACTCATGTTGAGACTTGAGCCATTTTGGCGGCCTGCTGCTTCAGTGCTGAGGTTAGCCACTAGACCTGAGTAGTGAGGAGGATGTGTGCTGACAGCTGAGTGGGGCAGGAAGGGTTGTTCAATGACTGACTGAACTGGGGTGTTCACAGCACCATATGCTCCTTTTTCTTTTTTCTTCTTTAACGTCACGCTGCTAAACATTTGGGCCAGCCTCATGACTCATGTTATTTTCTTCTCCTTTCAGGTAATTTTTAGTATTGTCTCTACAGCAAATTTTACAAGCCAAATGTTCATTTTGGCCTAAATAAGTTGGTGGTTGCCCTTATGCCAACAGAGGTCTGGAGCTAATCATAATCCTTTCTGGCTGCACCCTGCTGAGAGATATCTTATTCTCTGTACGTAAGTCAATTTGTGGCACTTGTAGAAATGATAGGGGTATAATTCAGGCCTTGGCAATAAATTAAATTTGTTAAACTGCTGACTTGATCAATCTTTTACTAATTCACAATTACCCCTTGTACTGTAGTTTTTGATAAGCAAATTGTTTAAGTAGGCTAAATAAACTGATAATATCTACAACAAACAGCAACATATGACCAGAAATTCAGTATTTAGTCTTATTTCAGTTCATGTTATCACATCATACGTTGTTGAAACAAGGAGGCATGCACCAACTGTGTCAGTGGGGCATGGTCTACACACTTTGTTAACCTGTGTAGTTGCTGTGGGTTTTGAGTTTGATGTTGACCTAGAAGCTCAGAGGAATGGTGTGTGGGTATCAGGTTATGGGTTTTAACAGTCTGCAGTGCAGTTCACCTGATACATGGACTGTAATGGGTTGGGATGTACACAGAGAAAGTGGGAAACCCAAGGCATTGTCCTATTGCCACTCAAGAATCCAGGAAGTTACTGTACATATGTCAAGTTTTAGTGTGAAGTTCTAGTAAAACACTGTGATACAAGATACTTTATGCCGCATAGTTTTGAGAAAGTGTGTTACAAATATAATCTATTCCATATTTCTTATAACTATAGCTTATCTCATAATTATGACAAACAACTATGGGTTCATGTTCTAATTTTTAATTTGACACCTTGCCATTGCTGATTTTTATGCAGGGAATATCAGTTTACAGCATTGTATTTCACCTTTAAGAGTAAACTGAGCTTTAAGCCTTTTGGAGATTTCTTTATCTGAGAAATAACTGTGATCATTCTGTTTTTGCTTAAGCAGTTATAGGTTTTTGTGTCTTTTTGTTAAAACTATGCTGTGGTGAAGGTTAGCTAACTGATGACATACAGCCTTGTCTCTGTTACAGATCATGTAACATCAGAGACATGAATCTTGGGAAAGTAGGTTACTGGGCCATGTCCTGCAAGCTTAAACTGAATGCTAGTCTGCATATTGCTAGAGCTGCTTAGTGTGACTCGGCATGCACAAATGGTGTAGGTCTGTGCAACTGGAAAATGCTCATTTCTGTCCTCTGTCTCTTTAAGAAAACTGAGTGGCACTTCACATAGAGTGAATGTTGAATGTTGAGCCCATGTTGATTCATTTCAGACACACATGAAATGGAGCGAAATTTGGCAACAAACATCACAAGTTGTACATTTGCCTTCTAAACCATATACAGTACTTGCCTTAAAATGTGTGTGTACAGGCCATTGTTGGGATTTACATTGTATTAATATTCACATGTTTATCTCTATACAGGCAATACAAAAACACCTGACCTAGACATCAGAGGCAAGAAACAAGAATTAACCAATATTGTCTGCTAATGTAAATAATACATGGCACATTACAGATGAAACAGTAACAAGTACTAGTACCATCTGTACATTATAAAATAATGCAGTGGACTGTGAAAGTGACATGCTGTTCATGGTAGATGCTGGTATAAAATTCTTTATTGATGCTTCAACAGCATGTCTGTGGAGAGTCTCAGACGTCTAGGTCATGGTATATGAAGTGCTAAAGTTGGCAACCTCTAGTAAGTCCAGTTGCCAACTTTAGCATTTTGGATATTTCATTGGCATGTAGCCTACTCTGTGTCCAAAGCAGTCATTTGAATTGAGCTTTTATAATATGTATTGCAAAAACAAAATTATAAAAATAAAAGAAAACTCTCTCAGTACTTGTTCTTTTATTTGGGATTTATGAGAAAAGCCTGCTCAAGTGGCAGATGAGCAGTTCCTTTATTACTAGAGGGCTTATTCTCTTCTGAAGAAAGCAACAGTTTCCACTTTATAACATGAATAAAAGATATGATTAACCTCTTCAAATTAGAGAACATTAAATACACAAAGGGACAGCGTAGTCATTCATGAATTACAGTACAATATGATGATTGCCTAGTGTCCATCCTGGAAGAGGGTTCACTCCTTTGTTGCTCTTGCTGAGGAATTATTATTATTATATTATTATGTTAAACTACAGGATTTCTGTCATACTGTGTTGGTATGACATTCCTATGATATCCAGAAAAAAGGAGAAGAAAAGTCCAAATTGTAGGCTTCAGGTGCCTTGTTATAATTTCAACAACTGTTGAGTAGATGGGAAAATAGGGAGATACTGTGCTGCTATAGGAGACTTTGAAACCCTGAGAGAGGCAAGTCAAACATGCTGATAACATGAAGCATGGATGTGACTCATTGCTTCATGCTGCACTGTTCAGATACATGCTGTGGTGTCACTGGCATTTGGTCAGTGGAACTATATGTTGCACATGACTCTTGAGATTGTGACTGGTATTCAAACAGTACCACCTACTTTAACCTTGTATGACAGATAAAATGTTCAGCTCCGGTGACTCTACAGATGTCATTGTCCTTGCTGCTGTCATTGATCTCTTGCTCCAAAGCACACAATCCTTGTCCTCAGTGGCTTCACACTCAGATCCACTGTGGTATGTTTAAGACATTTAGCTGCTTCCAGTGCTAAGACTTGCATTATGTGAATTTGCTTCCTCTCTTTTTATTCATGGCACAAAATGGGTGGCATTACCTGAGATAAATATTTGAACCGTATATGTGAAACCTTATCAACGATACTGCAGTGCTACAGAATCTCCATGAAGCAAAATTTACGCCAGTGACCTGACATTTTCTGAGAGGCTTTTGAGATAGTTCTCTTCATTCAAAGGAGTGAATATGTCATCAGCATAAATGAAGTTCATGAAATTAATTTGGCCAACATTTGAGTGCTGCACTGTCTGCTGCATATTCTAGATTTTCCCCTGTTTTTTGGAGACCTTGTCTATTTTATATAGCTGAGTCACAGGACTTGAGGTACAGCTTTCATCTATTTTTTAACAATTACATGTTACTGTCAGAAACGGAGTGTGAACACACTTTGTGTTTCAGAAGAAGAAAAAGGAAACCCAAGTGGTTTCACAATATGTGTGGGACCAGCAACTGTGTGTGACCTAGATGTGGTTCAGACCTTTATCTCAGGGCGTTGGCTGCATGAGCATTACAGTGTGGTTACTTTTTGTGGAGTAAATACACAATGCAGCAGAAGACCGTAAACAACCTGACTGGTTTGCTGCTGAATGAGCAGAGCATTCCTGTGTTCTTTATTGCTCAGTAGGTCACCTGCAATCTGCTATGTCACGAAGTAAAATCTGAACATTATGGTAACACTAAAATAGCATTTTACAGAATTTTCCTCTTTAATTTACAGATGTCCTGTTTATTTGACAGATTTTCCCTGTATTTCCAACATACATGGAAATGGTAATAAAATTACAAAAATATACTGTAAAATTACATGCCAAAATTAGAATACTGTAACTGGAAAACCCCATACCTGTGAATTACCATAAAGTTCTCATTTTTTAAAGGAAGATTTTTCTTTTTTCACATAAAAATAGTTGGTAATAAAATTGTACAAATTTCACAATTTGAACTAGCAGACTTCCTAGCATGCATTGTCTGAGAGTTAAAATTCACCCGTTTTATTTTTTCTAGGTTGACAAACCCATTCATGGTGGAAACTTATTGTGTCTGTAATACATATTAAGTATATAAGTCTGCATATAGTATCTAACAAAGCCACTGGAAACAGCCCTGCATACTATCTTTGTACCTCCTTGTTTTTTATGTTTATTCATTTTTTTACAGTGTGGTGATTTTCAT